GTTAAAAAAACACATAAGAGGCAGAGTAGCGTGTGTCATGGCTTCTCCATCCTAGGAAAAAAATGGGTAATTTGGCTCGCAGATACTACTGAATGGTGCGCATCAGGGGGGATTTAGAAGTGGGTATACCCAATGCTTACTGAAAAATAAGGGGTACACCATATACCCCCATTACCCTGGACTACACCAGTGGTGACAGGATATATTTTCCTTCCACTTGGTGTCACTCCGGAAACACTGCTAATTTGCTTTGGCTAACTTGACAACAAACGCCACCAGAAGCTGTCAGGGCAAGCACGGCCCGCACGACGACTCGACAAAAAGATGCGTTTGAGAAAAACACGCAGGCCGCACTAACACTAAACTTTGATGTCAAGTAGGGGGCCACAAAATATCATCCAGCGGGCCGAAATTGGCCCGCGGGCCACAAGTTTGAGACCCCTGCCTTACAGTATATTTCAGTTCAATAAAATAAACTACAGCATGCTCTACATCACTAGAATCTACTTTGAACTGAATCAAAAACTGCATTGCACCTGTGTTCATTCTTGCCTTTGGAAATAATAACTTTTCAATAAAAATCAAATCTGATCTCATAATTAAATTCCTGACTGTCAGTATTTTGACAGTTTCACATTTTTTGTTTCTCAGGCTTTGAGCCTTAGTACATTCATTGAAATTAAATACTAGACGCTACATTTAAATGCCAAGTATCAGCTTTAATTTGAGCAGGTTTACATCAATACAGAAAGAACTGTCTAAGAGATACAGCACAAGGTGCCCAAGGTTTAAGGCGCAACCTCACCTTGTCCCTGCCCCTTCTCACTGTTGCCAGGCCCCCAACCCCTGCTCTGCTTGAACACTCTCAAAGTCCAGTATGTCTTGTAAATTGACCAAGTTTCTGTGGGTCCTTCCATTGTAAATGGTAAATGTTTGTATTATATATATAGCACTTTTCTAGTCTTCAGTGTACGAACAGTTCGGTGTGATGCAGCAGCTCATAAGAACAGGACACAGACTTGCGGTGGACTTTTCCCTTTTGACAGCCATACGCAGATCAGCTGTTCCTCTGATGTGAGACGCTGTAACCTAAGGCAACAGAGGGCTGCCATGTTGGTTTGTAAACATGCCTTGTTCATGCTTCTTGACACAATTTTGGGTGTGTGGGTGTGTATGCCCCTTGGAGTTTTGGAGAATACTGCAACTATCAATGTGTTGAGCACATAGGCCCGGTGTTTTTAGCGCCAGTGATGTCATTAAAGATTTAGTGCAGAAGTATTTAAAAGCATAGCGTCAGGGACGAAGATCTGTGACTTTTTCAAACATTCACCTTAAAACTATGGCAAAGATTATAGGTTGCAAATGGGTGGTTGCTTGTTTATCAGTCAGATTAACAAGATGCCTCTCTGAAGTTTGACGAGTTCAACCAGGCTATATTTGTAAAAAGGTATTAGCCGCATTGAACTAGGCTAGATATCTGAATCATTTGCTAATTACATTTTAAACTTGATTTCCATTTATGCTGGCTGTACCTTAACTTGGCCATTTTCACAATGAATGTATGTTTTTATGTGTTATTATTACACATGCACTCATGTAAAAGCATGATTTTATAATTTCTTAATTCGTGAACTAACAACTATAGCTTGATAGAAAATGATAGTGGAGTAGGTTTATGGGGAGTCTTCAGTACAGCATGGAAACCCTGCTGTTTTTGTACAACTTAACTCAAAGATTGTGAAAGAGACTAATGAATAGGATACATGCTTCCAATTAGCCTTGAGGTCAGGCAGAGGGTTGGACAATGCTACAGGCACCCTATCAAATTTGATTCTGCCTCACTTAAAGGTTCCAAGGCTTCTGTGTGACAAATTTGTGTAAAATTTCCCTCTCCTTTTAATTGCATTCAGCCCCACATTGTAGCAAGTAGGCCAGAAACCAAACATAACAATGACTTTAGCTTGATGTGTTGGCAAACAGATTTTTAACTGGAAATGTCACGTGAATGACATCCTTTCAGATGCTATCTCCTCCTCCACCATATGACCCTGGATGATTAAACCCAGCTGTGCAAGGACAGGACCCTGACCCCAGCCATACCATTCAGCATGTTTAAGCTGTTTCCCTCTGGCTGCAGACAGTTTGCCTCCATTCAGGTCAAACGGTCCCAACTGCCATTGGCCTTTTAAATTTTTTATCATGCTATTAATTTATCAAGACCCTGCAGATTTCTGTATTTTTAAATTACTTATACAGTTTCATTTACTTTGATTATTTTATTTTTTCATATTGTATTTATCCATCGTTTGTGTTCATGAGGTTTGTGTGGATACTGCTGTCTGTACTACAAATTGTCCCACGCCTTTTGCTACAAGCATCAAAGTTCTGGACATTGGCCAGAACTACAGGAATAATGTGCAACAGCAATGTTGTCATTTCACTACAATACTGCAAATGTCAAAGGAAATAGGGTATCTGCTTATTTTTCAATCAACTTCTGTAACCCTTGTGAAAGCTTTGCTGTTTGGACAAGTATGTGACAGATCATTTGTAGCTGTTTCCCCCAACCTTTGGAACCATCTTTTCTTATATAAAAAAAAAGCAGAATGAGTGGAAAGTTTCAATAGCTGTTAAAAACTGAATTATATCACAAGCACTCTTTGTACAGATCGCCACTGGGCGGAGGCATTATGTCGTTCAGGTTGTCTGTCCATACGTCCGTCCGTCCTATTCTTGTGAACGTGTCATCTCAAGAATGTCTTGAGGGATTTTCTTCTTCTCTGAGATTATGGTGGTGAAAGGTTAAGGTCACAGTGGCTTCATGGTGGCCTCACAGGGTTTTTTTGGTTTTTCTTTAATGTGATATCTTAAAATCAGCTCGAGGTGAGGTCTTCAAATTTGGTACAAACATTCACTCAGACTCAAGAATGACCTGAATAGAATTTGGTGGTCAATGGTCAAGATAACTGTGACCTCACACTGCAATTGTTTTGCCTGTGAAAGTTCTATCTCCGGAATGACTTGAGGGAGTCCTTTCACATTTGGCACAAACAGCAACAAGGCTAAGAATTCACTAACCAATGTAGTGAAAATGAGCTATACGATACTCGGAGTGTAGCATAGTATGTTATTTGATCTGTTTAAAAGATTAAAAGAAAAGAAGGAAAACTAATTCCATACATTTCTGATTTTTCCTTTTGGCTCTCGATTCAGATCTTCCCCTGTTAAGAAAACAGGTACAAGCACTCTTTCATCCCTACGGCCATTCAGGGGTGTAGGAAGAGTTAGTGTGACCAAGGCTAATCACTTGGCTGTTGTGTTTGCAGTAGAAGAAGTAGTAGTTAGTTGTTTTGACTGGCTATTATATGATGGTAGTGGTGATGATGATGATGATGATGATGACGACGACAACGACGACAATAACTATGATGTCTCTGATGACTATGTCCTTGATGATGGCTGTTTGTGTAAGGGATGCCAAGATGCTGATCAGGTATGCCTCTACACTGCACTTTAGTCGGACTGCCTAACTCTTGCACTTGACCTTATTTATTCTGTTATTTTTTTCTTGTGTATTTTTATGCTATTTACATGGAATTATTTATGTTTTTTCTCTGCCACAAATTGTCTCGAACAACACCTGCGACTCCTGTTCTTGGTTTCTCAGGCCTACTATATTCAGGGCTCCTCCGACATTTATTGTTCTTTGATGTTCTTTTATTTAATCTTATGTGTGTACTTCCTTGCTGTAAACATACATTGCCCTTTAGGGACAAATAAAGTTGAATTTTGAAACTTGGACTCAATGATTAACTAATTAGATTACGGTGGTCAAAGGCCAAGTCACAGTTGCCTCAAAAAACATATTTTTCGGCTTCTGGAATATGATATCTCAACACTGACTTTCAAAATAATTTTGGTCAGCTTTTGATCAGTTTTACTTTAACTTAAAGTTAAAGTGATTACACTTCAGTGGTCAAAGGTAAAAGAATATGTAGTAATATATTAACAGAAACTTCTTTTAACCATCTAAAATACATTGATTACATACACATTACATTACCTAATAAGTCAGTCCAAGAGTGCAGTGAATGAAAGATTGTAGTGACTGAATTAAGAATGTTTCTCTAAAGGCATACAAGGTCCTAAATTAAGGTTAATCTTCACTATACAGATAGTGAATCTTTGATCTAATGATCTGAAATGTCCACCACTGACTCTCTGCTCACTTTCTTTTTCTTTTTCAAATTGCTATTAAAAACAAAATGGTTTTAATTATCATGTCAGAAACATACATTAGTAGTAAGCAGGGCTGTGCAACACTCTCCTATAATCTCCTACGGACTAAAAAAAAAATCTATATTCTGATTCAGGAATAAACTTACAGCTTAGTTAATAACTAAAATTGCTTGTTGCTGAAAGGGCATCCTCGTCTTTCTTTTTGGATGTAATTATTAGTTTCTTGTGCTTTGGTTTCTCTACTCAGAATTTATTTTGTATATTGCATCATAGGGGAGTCATTGCATTGTCCTGTTGTAATTAATGGAATTTCTGTTATTTTAGTATCCACTGAAGACAGGAGCCACTACAACTATTTTATGAATCGCTAATGTTTGTTGATTAGACATTTTGGTCACTACTCAATAAGAGAATGAACCACAGGCACTGTGGAATGGTGGATAATGTATTTTGTACATCCAGTTTACAATAGTCCAACAGCACTAGCATCAATATTATCAAGAAAACATAGAGCACAGTAGACTGTCAATCTGAAAGCTTTACTCTGAGTTAAGCACTGACATTAGTATGCCATTTGAATAATTTTTGAAGACATTTTGAGAGGTTTACTGTTATGTAGGTTCTTACAGTTTCTTCTTTCAACAATCTTGTTAAACTTAATAATAGTGAAAAGAATAACAGCCTCAGCAAATTTCAAGGTACTGTGTTGAGTTAATAATTTAATCTATTGAACAGTGCATTCTGTGTCTTGTCAAGGTGTTTTAGAAGTTGTTGAATGTTGATGTCATTACTATAATGCTCAGGGTTACAGTTAGCTGAGTCTTCACAATTGGGCTGTGACCTTTATTCTGTGAGTTATTGGGCGTCTTCTTTTTCGAAGACAGTGGGTGTGCTGTTGTGCTTGTGTATGTAGAGAAACTGTTGAAACTTGTGGAAGATGTCCAGACAAACACCACTTGGTCACCAGATTTGTTCACTCTTCGTTTGTCTTGATACATTACCGTCTCAAAAAGGGCAGATTTGCCTTGGTGACTTGATGTGACCTCTTCAGTCCTTGCAGGCAATTGGCCTTCACCTCTGCTGTCAACCCAAAGTGGTGGCTCAGTAAACACCGTAGAGTGCCACTCTATTCCTGGTGTTGCCAGGTGGGCTTGCCCACAAATGGGTGTTGTATAACAGGGACAACCTAGAACAGTTGCACGGGTCTGCTTAGCCCATCTCAGGAGCCTCATTATATTTTCTTCTTCTTCACAAGCCCAGGGGTTATCTCCAAGAGACATCATCTCTAGTCCCGTCAACTTCTCAAAGACCCCTTCAGACAACCAGGAGAAGCGATTAGCATTCAAGTAAAACTTAGTCAGCCTAGGCAGCCGGTCCAGTGATCCAGCCAGGATCTGCACTAGATAGTTATGTGACAAATCAATACTCTCAAGGTTGTGTGGCATATTTGTAGGCACAGTCCAAAACCTGTTGTGACTAAGGTTGAGAGTTTGAAGACTGGACAGTGTGTTGTTGATGAAGACCACTCTCTCTAGCTCATTATCTGACAAATCCAACACTTTCAGGTTCCAGTGGTAAGCTGTGTCATTTTTGTCCAGTGACCGTACATGGTTCCCTGCTGCTCGCATGACCCACAGAGACCTTGGTAAGACAGGGGGCAGGTTTTCCAGGCTGTTGTAGGACAGGTCCAGTGTTCGCAGGTGGGCATATCTGCTGAGTTGGTTGTCCAGGCCCAGCAAGCTGTTATAGAAATGTGATCATTGAAAGGCACATTTATAAAAAATTAATTGTATTTACACACTAATGCAAATTATTGTTGCTTTTATTTTAGAGAAATTGAGGCAAAGTGACTCAGTAATGCATAACAGAGCTTTGGACCTTACGTCTAACAAAATTAGTCAACATAAGCTACTGTTTACCAAACCAAGTTATTTATATGCACTGTAAGTGTTTCCCCACCACACTATATTTACTGTTATTATCCTGTCACTTTAGTGTGAAAGGATTTGATAATATGGTCTGATTATTATGATGACCATCTTACATAACCTCGTCATGGTCTGGGAGCAGGCCTGTAATCAGATGACAGCGGAGAGCTGCAGCTGCTTACCTATTAAAAGAGAGGTTGAGAAGGCGGATGTTGTGCTGCAGATCGGGAGGTATTTTGGTTAGGCCTCGTGAGGAGCAATCTACCACACGGTGTCCACGGCTGCAGGAGCACACAGAGGGGCAGATAGTAAGCACCCAATCTCCCAGTAGCCCACACAGCAGTAGGAGGAGGAAGCAGAGCAGAGAAGCTGAGCAGGCAGACATGATCAGAAACCTACAGAATGAGAGAAGTGTTACAAACAGGTTGTACATCTTAAGGTAATTCTTTCCCAAAAGAAAGAAAATTGTGAAAGATTTTGCAAAACATTTCATGAATGTCAGCTTAATAAATTGTATTACTGTCATATTTTGAAACAAATCAATTTAGTGACATACAATACAAACTAGGACTGAATGGCCAAGTATCATTACATACAATTCTGAGAGTATCTGTATTTCTATAAATTGTTCTGATGTCAGTTAGAAAACCAAAATGGAAGTGGACACTTGCTGAAGTCTCTAGATTTTGCCAGTCTATTGCTTTAGTACCGACTGAAATGACAACAGTTTGATAGATCACCATCCAAAATTCCCTATGTGTTCTTTTCAAGGGACAATTTATCTATTACCATCACCAGTTTGTTATCAGATATCCAATGAAATTATGCCAACATTTTCCTGATGGATTGACCCAAAATTCTGTTCAGATCCTCATGGTTCACAGGCGATGAATCACCTTGTCATAATACTTGCAAACTTGCTGAAGCATCCCCTGAATGTCAAACATTCAAATAGTCAGAGACCCCTAGTCAACTGAGATTCAGGCATTCGTTTTTCTTCATCATTCAGAATGAGCGATCCTCACTTTCACATTGCCCTCCTGGGTAAAATTATTCCACAGCAACATGCCATCTTGTCAGTGTGGTGAAGAGGTCTGGGATCGATTCAGGCAACTATGGACCAGTGTCCATAGTTGCCCAGGGTAAGACTGAGAGAGCAACCTCATACAGCATAGTCTCAGGCATTTGTTTGATCTCTCGTGCCAGCAGTCTTTGTTGCACATGCCCAATCCATTGTTAGTGCAGTGAGCCCACATAGCTTGTTGTCTATACTACATCAGCTTCACCAAACCTTGTTAAAAATGTTGCAGTTTTATAAAGCATCAAATTGTCAACATATTTATATTGAACCACCAAATTGGATTCCACTGACAAAATTCTTTGTCAGGTACACCCTAAATCCCAACAATAAGTTAAATTTCCATTCTTAAAGTTCAGAGGCTTCTGTTTTGCAATGGCTGAGCTGTGTGAATAATGTGAGCCATGAGTCATCACAAGTGCTAGTGGTGGCATTTATTATTGAACAGTTTCAATTGGCATGTGATGCCTGTGAAGTGCTGTGGAATTAGAGAGTAGTCTAATTATACTGTCACATCCAAATACATTAGTTAACTCAGACCTTCTGTCAGCTGTTTGTCAGGACTAGTCCTGCTGTAAAGTGGGACAGCTTCTTTCTCCCCCTCTGCCAGTGGGATTGGAGCTAAGACTGCTGCAGTGAGACTATTAATTTGAGATGGTAAAATAACTAAAAGGAAATAAAAAGGTCCATATGTGTCTGTGTTATTAAACGCAGGACAGCAGGACATGTTAACACGTAGAAAATTAGGAAAAATAATTATATTGCACTGTTGGCTTGATGATTGCTCTGCTGTCATTGTGCCAGATATTGTTGAAATCCTGTAGTAACACATTTCTTAATGTCCCCTTGGAATCTTAAATGAAGAAATCTGCATGGTGACAGAGCAAGGAGTTGAGTCCTCATAAGCCAGCACATCATTACATTGAAACAGCTCCCTGTCTTTGCCCATCGGGTGTGTTGCTCATACATTGTTCCTTCTCTGTCCATCTGCATCACTTACCTCATCGTGTCATCTCTCCTTTTCTCCTGTCGTCTCCTCTAGCTCCAGCTGTTTTTCTCCTTAATGATTCTATTGGTTGACTGCTGCTCATAGGTCATTGTGTCACACTCTCACATACTTCCTACTAGTTCTGGACCCATCCTGCTCACTGCTCTGCAGGCTCTTGATAAAGCCAGACGTCCAGGTTAGATGAGAGAGAGAGAGAGAGAGAAATGCAGCAGCAAGCCAGCCCACTCTGTTGCTGATGAGGCAAGCAAGGTGTGTGTGTGTGTGTGTGTGTGTGTGTGTGTGTGTGTGTGTGTGTGTGTGTGTGTGTGTGCGTGTGCGCGCGCTTCATGGCTGTAGCTCTCTCTCGCAATCTGTTGTGTTTTATAATACCTTTTTTATAATAGCTGCCAAAAAATCTTACGGCCTGGTTGACATTTTTAAATGGTGATAAAGGATATCCTCTGGGGTTGTGGTTTTAGAATCCCTCAAGCTATACTGGTTAGAGGTATAGTTATTTAATGGCCTTACTGACAACTATAATTTTAAAAAATCTGCAGGATTTCAGTTACCCGACTCACGGTTGTAACATTGATGTGTGAATTACACATGATTCACTACATAAACATTTTTTGAAAATAATTGCGTTTGTGGTATGTCTCCTGTACTTTTTGTTTTTGGAACACCTGCAGCAGTTCCCTAACTATTTTGTTCATTATTTCCATCCACCTGGTTTATTTATTTCCAAATGTCATACCTGGTGTCAAATCAAACTCATTCAAATTTTATTTGGTTAACCCATATTCACAAATTTGAATTTTGTCTCAAAGGGCTTAGCAACATGCCGCATCCTCTGCCCTTAACTTTCAGCATGACTGAGGAAAATCTACCAAAAAAAACTATTAACAATCAGCTGCCATCATGATCAGCGATCCACCATTACAATTGTGATCCTCCATCACAACTCAGGAGCTAATGCAGCAATCCTAGATCAGCAAACTATAAAAGCACATAGTCTCCACGGAAGAAGTAAAGTCAGTTAAATGTTTTAATGAAACTTTATTGTGATTAAAAAGCGAGAAGCATTTTATTGGCATTGTACTTGTACTCTGCGCAATGACAATAAAGTTGAATCTAAAGAGGAGCAGCTCCATGTGTCATATGGCACCGACAATCTAGGCCTATAGCAATATAACTAAGAGCTGGTCCATGACTGAACTGAACCAGCTCTAACTTAAAGCTTTATCACGGTCTTAAGCCTACTCTCAAACGTAGATGGGTGTCTGCTTCCCAAACTGAAATTGTGCACTCCACAGGAGAGGAGCTTGATAGCTGAAGGCTCTGGCTCCTACTCTACTTTTGTAGACTTCTGGGAGTGCAGTGCTCTAGTGGGGTGATATGGTATCATGAGGTCTGTAAGTTGCTCTAATTTCTTTGAGTGTCATTGTTTGAATGGTGTCTAAAATACCAGTTGCTGGTTGAGATGGTGAGATAATTGAAGTTAGCTGATCAGAGAGATAGAATATGATGAAGCTTTATTGATCCCACGTCATGGAAATTCCCATGTTACAGCAGCAGATAAGTCCGAATGTGGAAGTCAAGACAATATAAAATATAAAAGAGGTAAACAGAATAAAAAACTTCAAACAAAAAAAATACAGAGTATGTATATAAAATACACCTTTCACTTCAGAAACATTGTATAGAAAAAAGTATGCAGTGGTACAGGATGATTGCACAAGAATGTAAAGATTAAAGATTACATTTCCTTTATTAATCCCACAAGGGGGTTAGAATTTCTTTTTACACTCATTTTTACATATGCAGTTTAACCCAATCCCAAACACACAGAGGGCTCACAGACATGCACATTGGTGAGAGATTGCAGAGTAGAGTGATGGGCAGCCCCAGGAGAAGCGCCCTGTAAGCAATTTGGGGGTATAGTGCCTTGCTCAAGGGCACCTCAGCAGTGCCCAGGAGGTGAACTGACACCTCTCCAGCTACCAGTCCACCTTCCATGCTTATGGTCCATGCTGGACTTGAACCAGCCAGCCTCCGGTTCCCAAGCCAAATCTTTATGGACTGAGCTACTGCTGCCCCCAAACGCATCGAATGTAGGGTGGAGGTGCTTGATTATGTTATAATCCTTTCCATGGTCTTCATCAGGTGAGAGGTCAAGGCTACCGGCCTGAGGTTTGGTTCAGTTTGGTTTTGTTCCCTGGGGTGCGCAGTGTTTGGTACCGGGACCACACAGGACATTTTCCACAGTGTCGGGACTCTTTGAGGCTCAGGTTGTAGATGTATAGTACCACCTCACAGAGCTCCTCCGCAAAATCCCTGAGTAGTCTGGAGCTGATGCCATCAGGGCCTCTAGGCTTCCTGGCCCTGATCCTCTTCAGAGCTCTTTCTTCACCTAATCAGCTGTTTAGGGGATAGTGGGCATGGGGGGCGACTCCTGAAGAGGGAGGGGAGATGCAGCTGAGGATGTCCCTGCCGTTCTGGAGGAGGGGGAGTGCATGGTAGCTGCAAGGACAGGTCTTGGGTCCGGTGGGTTCATTCAGTTCATTTGACCACTCCCATTCACCAGATTCTGGGCCCCTTCTATTGTCTTTGCTGTGGCCGGAGATTTTGTTTCTCTCTTGAATTGTTCTGTTGGAGCCTTTCCTCCAACTCCCCCCTGAAGCTGCCCTTGCACTTCCTTATCTCCCTCCTTAGCTCCCTTTTGACCCTCTTCAGTTCCTCTTTATCCTCCTCCTTCAGCAGGGCCTTTAGTGCAGGGGTCAGCCAAGGTTTGTTGTTGGAGAAGCACCTACTGGTTGGCCACAGTGTTTCCTCCAGTGCTAACAGGTGTAAACAATGGAGCCATGGCTAAATGGATCACCCAATGTAGTCCAAGAATTATTTAAAGGCATATGACTAGCCTCAGCACATGTGCATCATTAGGTGCTTATAGTTAACAGGGACTAGTGTGAGAGAAAACACACAAAGCTGTCTTCATAAATAACAAGATTCTCAGCCACTCCTGAGAGTTCTGTGCTTCTAAAAATTCAGAATAAGACCCAGCAGCACGTCAACTATAGCTTATAGGATTGACTGTTGAGTTTTCCTGTGTGGGTATGGCAGACTAAGAACAAGGCTTTCAAATTAGTTCTAGTTTAGTTTAGGTTTACTATTAATGCCAGAGCCCTTTTATTTTGGCCCAGCCAGGTCTCAGTGAGACAGTAAATCATTATTGTGATTTGAAATAATCATTATACTGAGCCTTGGATGATAATGATCTTACATTTTAGAGTCCACATTTAATAAAGATGGTTTGTGGTTGTGTT